GCACATGCATGCTGGGGAGGGGGCAGTTAGGGCACATACTGGGGAGGGTGGGGGGCAGTTAGGGCACATTCTGCGGTGGGCGGGGCTCGGTGGGCAGGTGAGGTTCAGGTTATGCGGAGTGCAGGTTGTCGGCGGTCAAAGCACCCAGAGGTCATGTGACCTGCACACAGCACTCTGCTCTCATTGGAGAAGATGATTGGTTGTGATGATAGACAGACAGATAGAGGACATCACATGACCCTACCTGTCTCACACACTTGTTACAGTGTGTCCACCAGCTGCCCCACGTGTCTTCCTGTTGGCTAGATCCCGCCCCCTTGACGTCGCTGGATTGTTCGAACTTTATTGCTCGGTTTCAGTAGAGACATTGTAAATAATGAACGCCGTTGTTCAAGCCCCTCACTCCCCGCCCACTTTTGGCAACACCTCCTATTTCCTCGCCTTCATTGCAGCTCTGCGGAATACGGAGCTCCGCCCATAAGTCTGGTACTTGACGTGGCAGCCAGCTCAGGGCAGAGCCCTTTTCTGAAGCCTCGGCAACTGCGCCGTCATTGGCCTGTAGAGATCAGGGTATCTGCTATGCGATTGGTCTGTAGAGCTAATTCCTGGTTTCATTGGCTTCTTTCACGTCCGTCATTCTTTGATGGGGCGGGTCTCTAAGGAGAGGTGTTACTTCATCTCTGCCTATCAATCTTATGTAAATATAGAGCAATATGGTTGGTTAAGACGTCTAGGGGGCGGTGCTTCATTCAACCCTCTGCTGGGAGGGATTTTCTGTCTCTGATGCACGAGTCTGCAGGGGGCGGGGAATGTCAGATGGCGCTTGCTGTGATTTGCCGAGGTGGGCCGACCGTGGCTTGTGATTGGCAGACGGTGCTCTCCGGGCCGCTGTGCGCAGTGTGAGGCCGATCAGTCGTGTGTCAGCTGGCGGCAGGGAGACATGCTGGGTTCGGGCGGCTCCATAGACCGGGGGCGGCTCCGCCAGCTGCTGCGGGGGAGTGTGGCCGGCCTGTGCGAGCTGCGACTTCTGCGGGAGAGACAAGAAGTCCGAGTCCGCCGGGCGCTGCGGGGGGGCGAGGTGAGTCCGCACCGCTCCTTATATACCGCACAGACACCGCCAGTGCTGAGGAGGGTCCAGTCCTCGTCTTCACGCTGTGGCTCCTCATGTGTCATCCTCATCCTCTGTATGTCACTAGCAGCACCG